TTAACCTTCCATACTAGGGCAGTGCTTTCCTCAAAAAGTACAAAAAAAAAAGTACAAAACAATCGCAAGATTTAACAGCTACCCAAAAGTATCCTTTTGTTTTTGTTTTTGTTTTTTTGGTGTCTCCCCCCCACACATACACACTGAGACAAGGTCTTGATATATAGCTTAGGCTGGCCTTGAACTCTCAATCCTCCTGCCTCGGCCTTCCAAATGCTGGGATTATAGGCATATACCACCATGTCCAGCTAAAATTGCTCTATGGATTCTTGACATTAAGACCTACATCTACATTGTAAAATCTTTTTAAGCATGTGTTAGACATCTGAAACTTTTGTTCAACTGTACACTTCATACCATACTGTCAGTTTTTGTCTTAATAAAACTATAGATTCATATTTTTTTTTAAAAAGAAGGGGAGGCCAGAGGAACTGGGGCTTCCAGGAACTATATTAGATTTTCCAGACTTCCTGTTGGACCTGGAAGTAGGCAAGACCACCAGGAGTCGCTAGCCCTCCTCCCTGCTAGCTTGTACAGTGCGTGATTAGGTAGGGCACCTAATGCAGCCTGCTCTCGCTACCTTCCCATGACATTCAGCTCTGAAGGCTTCCTGGATAGCATGCACACTTGGCACCCCAGGGCTCATGTGGGATCCTGTGATAAAACCCTAGTCAACGTATCTTGCTGTGTTGGCACCATCTCAGCTGGGGAAGAAGTACCTGGACCGGAGTGTGCTGGGCCTATTCAAATAGGCACAGGTGGCTCACTCAATCCTAGCTACTTTGGAGGCTGAGATCTGAGGGTCACAGTTCAAAGCCAGCACAAGCAAGAAAGTCTGTGAGACTCTTATCTCCAATTAAGTACCAAAAAAGGCAGAAGTAGAGCCGTGACTCAAGTGGTATAGCACTAGCTTCAAGCACAAAAAATTTAGGAACAGGGCCCCAGGTCCAGAATTCAAGCCCCAGGACTGGCGAAAAAGAAAAGGAAAAAGTCATTGATTGTCTAGGCAGAGTGGCAATGGGCCCTGATAGGGGTGCCCCATATGCCCACTAGTCCTGCCAGCTCTTCCACAGACAATCTCCAGCCTCCTTCTGGTTTGTGGATTATTCTTCACAGGACTTGCAAACACTAAACTGGAAGTCAAGTCTTCCCCACAAGGCTAGTTTTCTTCTGAAAGCCGCATCTCTTCTCCACCCTTTAGTTTTCCTGATGTATACAGACTGGATAGTTAAGCTGAGCCAGCTGGTCCCAGCAGCTGTTCTACCTGCTCCCTCCCTCATCTTGCCTCTTCTCTCTGCTTTTCCTTAGTTAATGCCATCATTGAGGAAATTACACAACTCAGAGAAGAGTTTGCTAAGGTTTGCTTTTTACAAAGTCAAGATCCCACAAAGCACAATGGCTCTTCCTGTAATCCTGGCTACCTGGCAGGAGGGGATTGGAAGGTAGCCCTGGGCATAAATGCCTATTTTAAAAAATGTGAAAGCAGGGAGCTGGGAAGGTGGCTCAGTGGTAGAGTGCTTGCCTTACATGCATGAGGCCCTGGGTTCAATTCCTCACCACCACATAAGCAGAAAAGGCTGGAAATGGCATTGTGGCTCAAGTGGTAGAGTGCTAGCCTTGAGCTGAAGAGCTGAGGGACAGTGCCCAGGCCCAGAGTTCAAGCCCCATGACCAACAACAATAACAACCCAAAAAAAAGCCGGGCACAGGTGGCTCACACCTGTAATCCTAGCTACTCAGGAGGCTGAGATCTGAGGATCACTGTTCAAAGCCAGCCGGGGCAGGAACATCTGAGAGACTCTTATCTCCAATAAGCCACTAGAAAACCGGAAGTGGTGCTGTGGCTCAAGCAGTAGAGCACTTGCCTTGAGCCGAAGAGCACAGGGACAGTGCCCAGGCCCAGAGTTCAAGCCCCACGATGGAAAAAAAATGTGAAAGCACCAGTGGCTCACCCCTGTAATCCTAGCTACTCAGGAGGCTGAGATCTGAGGACTGCAGTTCAAAGCCAGCCCGGGCAGGAAAATCTGTGAGAATCTTATCTCCAATTAATCACCAGAAAATCAGAAGTGGTGCTGTGGCTCAAGTGGTAGAGCACTTGCCTTGAGCTGAAGAGCTGAGGAACAGTGCCCGGACCCAGAGTTCAAGCCCCATGACTGACTAAAAGAAAAAAAAAGAAAAAAAGTGAAAGCACTGGACACAGGTGGCTCATGGCTATAATCCTAGCTACTCAGGAGGCTGAGATCAGAGGATCCCAGTTCGAAGCCAGCCCTGGCAGGAAAGTCTGTATAACTCTTATCTCCAGTTACTCACCAGAAAACCAGAAGTGGACCTGTGGTTCAAAGTGATACAGCACTAGCCTTGAGTGAAAGAGCTCAGGGACAGCACCCAGGCCCTAAGTTCAACCCCCACAACTGACAAAAAAAAAAAAAAAAAGCTTAGGGACAGTGCCCAGACCCTAAGTTCAAACTCCAGAACACACACACACACACACACACATTGTAAAGGCAAAAGCTAGGGATGAAAGTATGGCTTATATAATAGAGTGCCTACTTTGCAAGTAAGAGGTAGAAAGCTTTGAGTTCAAACCCATTACTGCCAAAAAAAAAAGTTAAGAGGGGCTGGGAAGGTGGCTCAGTGGTAGAGTGCTTGCCTCACATACATGAGGTCCTGGGTTCAATTCCTCAGCACCACATTTAAGCAAAAAAGCCAGAGGTGGCGCTATGGCTCTAGTGATAGAATGCTAACCTTGAACTGAAGAGCTGAGGGACAGCGCCCAGGCCCAGAGTTCAGGTACCACAACTGGCAAAAAAGAGTTAAGATTGTTTTATTTTATTTTATTTGTGGGGGGACAGGGAGGAGGGGAGAATAGTGGTACTAGGGGTTGAGATAGGGCCTCATACTTACTAAGCAAGCACTCTACCACATGAGCCACATCCCACTTCCTCAGAAACCATTTTCTCTCTGCTTCCTCTCCCATTGTCTTTTTTTTTTTTAATTTTTATTTTTTGGTCCGGTGGTGGGGCCTGAACTCTGGGCCTGGGCACTCTCCCTCAGCTCTTCAGCTCAAGGCTAGTGCTCTACCACTTGAGCCACAGCGCCACTTCTGGCTTTTTTCTTTTTGCTTATGTGGTGCTGAGGAATCGAACCCAGGGCCTCGAGCATGCAAGGCAAGAGCTCTACCACTGAGCCACCTTCCCAGCCCCTCCCATTGTCTTTTTATTTAATGGGGTTAAGTGTAATCTTAGTAACCTGCATATCTCTGCTCTTCCCAGGCTGATTCAAACAAGTGTGATCTGCTTCCTAACTTTTTTTCTTTTCCACGACCAGGGCTTGAACTCAGGGCCTCAAAACTTTTGATTGGCTTTTTCTACTCAAAGATGGTGTTGTACCACGTGAGCCACAACTCTACTTTCAGCTTCTTGCTGGTTAATTGGAGATAAAAGCCTTGAGGATTTGTCTGCACAGGCTGGCTTTGAACTGAAATCTTCAGATCTCAGCCTCTTAAGTATATTAGGATCAGAGGTATGAACCATCAGCACCCAACTCTCTTCTAATTTTCTTTTGTCTTGGTATTTCTAGCCATTTTCTCCACTTGAATTCGTGGATTACCTCACTTCCTTGGAATGGAACTGTTTGCTTCAGGGTGTTTCTCCAATTTCCTTTCCAGGAAGGAATTTGGCATGGTGGGCTTGACTCAAGCCTCTACCTCTTCCAAGCTGAAGCTAAAGGGTCTTTCTACATTCTTTTCTCTCTTTTTTTTGTGTCAATACTTGGACTTGAACTCAGGGCCTGGGTGTTGTCCCTTAGCTTTTTGCTTGAAGCTAGCACTCTATCCCTTGAGCCTCACCTCCATGTTGGGCTTTTTGCTGGTTAATTGGAGTAAACTCTCAGGGACTCTTCCTGCCCAGTCTGGCTTCAGACCTTGATCCTCAGATCTCAATTTCCTGAGTAGCTACACTTACAGACCGGAGGTAAAGGAGCCTACTTCTTTTTTGTTCTTTTGTCCCAGGATCTGATCAGTCTGCTGCTGGGCTCCACTCTTGTATTTGTGTCCCTGGGGTAGGATGAACTGACTGAGAAATGTCTCGTCAACCAAACCCTGGTGGCTTCACACCTGTAATCCTACCTACTCAGGAGGCTGAGATCTGAGGATCATGGTTCAAAGCCAGCCAGCAGGAAAATCTGTGAGACTCTTAGCTCCACTTAACCACCAAACAAAGTCAGATGCAGAAGTGGGGCTATGGCACAAGTGCAAAAAACAAAACAAAACAAAAAACAATGATAGCACCCAGGCCCTAAATTCAAGCCCCAGGACCAGCACCAAAAAAGAAAAAAGAAAAGATCCCTTGATCCATTTTGGAGTAGAACATTTCACAGCTCACTTCACAACATCTGTTTGCAGAATCAAGTGACCTCACTATTTTCTCCAAGAACAATGGGTGAATATTTGCTTTAGTATTATGCAAGACTGAGTTTCCCAAACAAAGGAATCCCAAGCTGCCAGACACAAGCCCATCCCCTACAAGGCATCAAGAAATCTGCAGTTGAAGGTGAAAAACAAGCACGTTCCTCTGATGGGGCACTCTGCCACTTGCTGAAAGTGTCCTAAAAATGTTAGCTCAAGTTTTCTGGGTTGCCAATGGTTTTACTTTATTTTGTATGTTCCAGTACTAGGACTTGAACTCAAGACCTGGGCACTGCCCATTAACTTCTGTGCTCAAGGTTAGCACTCTACCACTTGAGCCACAATTCCACTTTCGGATTTTGGGTGATTAATTGAAGATACAAATCTCATGGACTTTCTTGCTCAAGCTGGCTTCGGACCACGATCCTCAGATCACAGCCTCCTGAGTAGCTAGGATTACAGGTATGAGTATTGAGCCACTGGCACTTAGCTTTTATGTTCTTCTTTATCCTTTTCTAGATTTTCTTCAAAAACTGTGTTTTGTTTGATTTGTAAGTTTTAAAGACGGACTTGGTAGCACATACCTGCAATCCCAGTTACTGAGGAAGGGAAGGGGAAAGGGAGCTGAAGGCAGAAGGACTAAGGATTTGAGGCCAACCTTGGCAAAACGTACGGAGACCTTGTCTCAAAGTGAAAAAATAAGCTGGGTGTACTAACTCACGCCCACAATCTCAGCTACTTGGAGGCAGATTAGGGTTTAACCTCAGCCTAGGCTTAAAAGTTTTTGAGCTGGGGCTGGGAAGGTGGTTCCGTGGTAGAGCACTTGCCTTGCATGTCTGAGGCCCTGAGTTCGATTCCTCAGCACCACATAAGCAAGGGAAAAAAAGCCTGAAGTGGCGCTGTGGCTCAAGTGGTAGAGCTCTAGCCTTGAGCTGAAGAGCTGAGGGACAGCACCCAGGCCCAGAGTTCAGGCCCCACGACCGGACCCAAAAAAAAAAAGAAAAAGTTTTTGAGCCAGGGGCTGGGAATGTGGGTTAGTGGGAGAGTGCTTGTCTAGCTTGTCTAGCATGCATGAAGCCCTGAGTTCGATTCCTCAGTGCCACATGAACAGAAAAATCCAGAAGTGGCACTGTGGCTCAAGTGGTAGAGTGCTAGCTTTGAGCACAGAGAGGCTCAAGGATAGTGCCCAGGCTCTGAATTCAAGCTCCAGGACTGGCAAAAAAAAAAAAAAAAGTTTTTGAGGCTCTGAGTTCAAATCCCAGTACAACCAAAAAAAATGCTGAGAGCATAGCTCAGTTGGTGATGATTGGACTCTGGGTTCAATTCCCAGTATTGAAAAAGAAAAAAAAAAGGAGCTGTGAAGGTGGCTGAGTGGTAGAGCTCTTGCCTTGCATGCCTGAGGCCCTGGGTTCGATTCCTCAGCACCACATAAGCAGAAAAAAAAAGCCGGAAGTGGTGCTATGGCTCAAGTGGTAGCATGCTAGCCTTGAGCTGAAGAGCTGAGGGACAGTGCCTAGGCCCAGAGTTCAGGCCCCACGACCGGACCCAAAAAAAAACAATTGACGTTATGGCCTGCAATAAATTCTAGTTATCTGCTCCCATTCTATTATACTATACAAGTTAATCCAAGCATGTAAGTCATTTCAAAGCTACATTAATTAAAGGCAAGTAAGCATTTCTGTGGTATTGGGGGTTTTTTGTTTTGTTTTTTGTTTTTTTTTTTGCCAGTCCTGGGCCTCAACTCAGGGCCTGAACACTGTCCCTGAACTTCTTTTTGCTCAAGGCTAGCACTCTACCACCACTTCTGGCTTTTTCTATTTATGTGGGACTGAGGAATAGAACCCAGGGTTTCATGCATGCTAGACAAGCACTGTACCACTAAGCCATATTCCCATCCCTGGTTTTGGTATTTTTAAACCTCTCTCTCTCTCTCTCTGTCTCTGTCTGTCTATCTGTCTGTCTGTCTGTCTCTCTCTCTCTCTCTCTCTCTCTCTCTGTCTCTGTCTCTCTGCTTTTTTCTTCCAATGGTACCAGTCCTGGGACTTGAAAGCTGGAAGTGGTGCTGTGATTCAAGTTGTAGAGCAAAAGAAGCTTAGAGGCAGTACCCAGGCCTTGAGTTCAAGCCCTAGGACTGTCACAGAAAAGTAAAATTTCCCTTTTATATTTTTAAAAAGTAATTAAAGCTGAGTGCTGGTGGCTCATGCCTCTAATCCTAGCTACTCAGAAGGCTGAGATCCGAGAATGCCAGTTCAAAGCCAGCCCAGGAAGGAAAGTCCATGAGACTCTTATCTCCAATTAACCACCTGAAAATCAGAAGTGGTGCTGTGGCCCAAACTGGTAGAGTGCAAACATTGGAAAAAAAAAAAAAAGCCCAAGGACAACACTCAGGCCCTGTCTATGACCATAGACTACTCAGTTTAAACTTATTTATTTATTTGGTCAGTTGTGGGCTGGAACTCCGGGCCTAGGCACTGTCCCTGAGCTTTTGCATTCAAGGCTAGCACTCTACCACTTTACACCACAGTGCCACTTATAATTTTCTGGTGGTTACTTGGAGATACTCATCTCTCAAGGCTCACCCCTCTAATCCTAGCTACTCAGGAGGCTGAGATCTGAGGATCGCGGTTCAAAGCCAGCCCTGGCAGGAAAGTCCGTGAGAAGCTTATCTTCAATAAACCACTAGAACACCGGAAGTGGTGCTGTGGCTCAAGTGGTAGAGCACTTGCCTTGAGCTGAAGAGCTGTGGGACAGCACCCAGGCCCAGAGTTCAAGCCTCAAGGACTTTCCTGCCAGGGCTGGCTTCAAACTGTGAACCTCAGATCTCAGCCTCCTGAGTAACTAGGATCACAAGTGTGAGCCACTGGTGCTCAGTAGTTTAATTTTGTTTTTGTTTTGGTCTGTCATGAGGCTTCTCGGGCCCTGGGCTGACCCTGAGCTCTTTTTGCTCAATGCTGGTGCTCTACCACTTTGAGCTATAGTACCACCTCCGGTTTTCTGGTGACTAAAACTTTCCTGCTTGGAAAAGAAAGATGATCTTCAGATTTCAGCCTCCTGAGTACCTAAAATTACAGGTGTGAACCACCAGTGCCCAGTCAGTTTAAATTTTTAATAAAAATTGTTATTTCTGCGCATCAGTGGCTCATACCTGTTATCTTAGCTACTGCAGAGGCTGAGATTTGGAGATTAATGTCCAAAGCCAGCAGGCAAAACCTTAAGTTTTTCTTTTCTTTTCTTTTCTTTTTGTCGGTTGTGGGACTTGAACTCGGCCTGAGCTCTGTCCCTCAGCTCTTCAGCTCAAGGCAAGCACTCTACCACTTGAGCTACAATGCCACTTCCAGGTTTTTTTTCTGGTCATTTATTGGAGATGGGAGTTTCACAGACTTTCCTGCCAGAGCTGGCTTTGAACCGCGATCCTCAGATCTCAGCCTCCTGAGTAGCTAGGATTACAGGCGTGAGTCACCAGTGCCCGGCACCTTAAGATTTTTATCTCCAGTTAGCCAGCAAAAAGCCCAAAGTGGAGCTGTGGTTCAGTGATAGCACACCAGCCTTGAGCAAAAAAGTAAAGCAGGAATTCAAGGCCCTGAATTTAAGCTCCGCTTCCTCCCACATACACACGCATGCACACACACACATGCACACACACACACACACACACACACACACACAAAATCAATCAATCAATCAATTACAACTAGGTGCCAGTGGCTCATACCTGTAACACTATAGCTACTCAAGGCTGAGTTCTAAGGACTGAGCTTTGAAGCCAGACTGGGCAAGAGAGTCCAAGAAACGCTTATCTCCAATTAACTAGCAAAAAGCCAGGCTCAAGTGGTAGAGCACCAGCCTTGAGCAAAAAATATAGGGACAGTATCCAGGCCTCAAGTTTAAGCTCCAAGACAGGTACCAAAATAATAATAATAATAATTTACCAATAATTTATAAGTGGAACTATTTTGCACATTATTGAGAATTACCTTTTTTTTTTTTTGGGTCCAGTCGTGGGGCCTGAACTCTGGTCCTGGGCACTGTCCCTCAGCTCTTCAGCTCAAGGCTAGCGCTCTACCACTTGAGCCACAGTGCCACTTCCGGCTTTTTTTCTTTTTGCTTATGTGGTGCTGAGGAATCAAACCCAGGGCCTCATGCATGCAATTCAAGCGCTCTACCACTGAGCCACCTTCCCAGCCCTGAGAATTACCAACCTTTTTCTCCTCAACCTCTTTGGTCCTATAACCCAATGTAGGAACTATAGTGGGTGGTTTTTGTTTTGTTTTGTTTTGTTGCCAGTCCTAGAGCTTGAACTCACGACCTGGGCACTGTCCTTGAGCCTCTCTGTGCCCAAGTCTGGCACTCTACCACTTGAGCCACAGCACCACTTCCAGCTTTTTCTGCTTATGTAGTACTGAGGAATTAAACCCAGGGCTTTATGCATGCTAGGAAAGCACTCTACCACTAAGCCACATTCTGGGAACAGAATGGTTGCAGAGCCAGGCTCCAGTGGCTTACGCCTATAATCCTGGTTACTCAGGAGGCTGAGATCTGAGGATTGTAGTTCAAAGCCAGCCTGGGCAGGAAAGTCCATGAGACTCTTATCTGCAATTAACCATCAGAAAACAGGAAGTGTCGCTGTAGCTAAAGTGGTAGAATGCTAGCCTACCACTTGGGACAGCTCCCAGGGCCAGAGTTCAAGCCCCACAACCGACAAACAACAACAACAACAAAAACCAGAATGGTTGTAGAGTGAGGAGAATGTGCAGGGCAAGATGGGAGCAGGTCAGCAAGGTGCCTCTTAACCCCAGAAAGAGATGGTGGGACTTGCTCATGTGTCTGACGTGAGAGAGAGAGGAAGGTGTGGACTAACTCCAAGGGTGACGGCACAACTAGAAGACTGATACAATGAAGACGGAATAGAATGGCCTAGAGCCCGAGACAATCGACAGTTAAATGTTGGACATGTTAAGTTGAAGTTGCCTATTGGACAACATCCAAGGGAAATGTGGAGTCAGCAGTTAGTTATAACAGTCTAGAGTTTAGAAAAGAGGCCTGGGCTGAAGATATAAATTAGTAAGCCATCAGCATATGGATGTTATTTAAAGCCAGAGGACTGGATGAGATCACCAAGGGAGTAAGAAAAGGAAAGATCTGAGTCATGAACCCTCCATTCTTTAGAGGTCAGAGGAAATGGCAGAGGAAACTAGAAAGATGGCACCCAGAGAATGTGGGGTTCCAAGTGTAAGAGAAGGAACTGTTTTCAGAAAGAATAAACAAACAGTGGTTAGATTAAGCTGAGGTATGTAGTAAAATGAGGATTAAAAATTGTCTTTTGCTGGCGCCAGTGACTCACACCTATGTAACCCTAGCTGCTGAGGAGGCCGAGATCTGAGGATCACAGTTTGAAGCCAACCTGGGTAGGAAAGTCCATGAGATTCTTATCTCCAACTGTATCTCAAGTGGTAGAGCACTAGCATTGAGCAAAAAAACTCGAGGACATTGACCAGGCCTTGAGTTCAAGCCCCAACCAAAACTGGCACACACACACACAATAGTCTTTTGATATGGTCCTGATAATGTACACCTGTAATCTAAGTACTGGGGAGGCTGAGGCAGGAGGAATGAAAATTTGAGGCCAGGCTAGGCTAAATTTTGTGTAAACAAAACAAAAATTTGGCTCTAGCATGGAAGTCATTTATGACCTAAACAAGAACAGTGGAAAGAAAGCTTGTTTAGAGGGATTAAAAGACAGGAGAAGCCAAACACCAGGGCTCATGCCTGGAATCCTAACTACTCAGGAGGCTGAGATTTGAGGCATAGTTTGAAGCCAACTCAGGCAGGACAATCTGTAAGACTCTTATCTCCAGCAAAGAGACAGAAGTGGAGGTATGGCTCAAACGGTAGAGCACCAACCCTGAGTGGAAAAAGCTAAGAAACAGCACCCAGGCAGAGTTCAAGCCCCAGTGCTAGAAAAAAAAGGGGAAAAAAGACATAGGAAAGTAGAAACAGGAATATAGATAACTCTTTAAGATGGAAATAAAAAGAGTGGCATATGTGAAAACTAGACCTAAAAGACATACATATTCATAGACATGTATATACCTATATATATATATATCCATTTACATAAGTTTATATATGAATAAACACAGAACATGAATCTGGCTAAGGGACTACTTAGGAGGAGACAGGAAAGGGGGAAGGGTAGAGAAATAGAGGGTGAATAAGATTTTTTTAAACTTACATTAATCATACAAAGGGGGATGTCATTGTTACATTTCTTTTCTTTTTTTTGCGGGGAGGGGGGGTCTGGTCATGGGGCCTGAACTCTGGGCCTGGGCGCTGTCCCTCAGCTCTTCAGCTCAAGGCTAGCGCTCTACCACTTGAGCCACAACGCCACTTCCGGCTTTTTTCTTTTTGCTTATGTGGTGCTGAGGAATCGAATTCAGGGCCTCAGGCATGTAAGGCAAGCGCTCTACCACTGAGTCAACTTCCCAGCTCATTGTTACATTTCTACACACATTTACACTGTATCCCAGTCAACCTCATCCTGCCCTCCTGTCTCCCAAAACAGTTTCAACAGAGTTCATGGTTCTTTTTCATAGTTGCAAATAATCTATTTCAACTGTATTCAACCACCTTCATCCTTGTTAGGTTCCCCTCCTGCTGTCTCCCCACCCCTAGGACAGAATCTGTTTCTCCTTCCTACCCCTCCTCCTCCTCCTACTGATCAACAGCTTTCATGAGGTGCTTATAGATCGCTGTGAAGGTGGACACTTCTAAAAGGCATTTCCAGAGGATGAAGATGGTCAAAATACATTGTGTGCAACTATAAATCTAGAACAATGAAAACTGCTGACATTGTTTAAGGAAGAGGGGAAAGGCAGAAGGGAGAGTGACAGAGATGAGATTGATTGGAATCTATTGTAAAACCACCAGAATGCAGCAATGAAATCTCCCTGTGTATCATAATGCAAACGAAATTTTTAAATAATTTTTTATTATTGATATTTTTGTCAGTTGTGGGGCTTGAACTTAAGACCTGGGCACTGTCCCTGAGCTTTTGTGCTCAGGTTAGTACCCTTTGAGCCACAGCTTCACTTCACAGGAAATTCTGTGGAACTCTTATCACCAATTAAGCACCAAAAATGCTGGAAGTGGAGCTATGGTACAAGTGGCAGAACACTAGCCTTGAGTAAAAAAGCTCAGGGACAATGCCAAAGCCTTGAGTTCAAGCCCCAAGACTGGCATGTGTGTGTGCACATGCTCACACACACACACACACACACACACTTATCTAGAGAGTGAATGCATTCATTATCTATGGAATTTAAACTGGATAAAGAGAGATCAATGAAAGAGAGGACAGGTAAGAGGCAGGCGGGGTAGGGTGTAGGCTCTGGTGGAATACAGTGGTAATAGACATGAACTAGAAAGATGTTGGGGGAAAAAAATCAGGTGGTACTGAGAGGGTGGAATGCATGAAACTGAGAGTTTGGAAGTGTTGTGGGTTAGAATTTGGTCCACCCCCCCAAACAACATTAACATCTAAACCCAAAAATCTGAGGAGACCTTATCAGGAAGGAGGCCATTTAAGGGGGCAATCATGTTAAAAATTTAGTCATAGCAGTCATTAGTCCTCTACTTCAATTTGACAGGTGTGTATGTGTGCGTGTGTGCGTGCGCACACGCGCATGCATGTGCACTGGAAGTAGAATTTGAACTCAGGGCCTGAGCAATGTCCCTTCCTTTTTTGGGGGGGTGGAGGGGTCTGGTCGTGGGGCCTGAACTCTGGGCCTGGGCGCTGTCCCTCAGCTCTTCAGCTCAAGGCTAGCACTCTACCACTTGAGCCACAGCGCCACTTCCAGCTTTTTTCTTTTTGCTTATGTGGTGCTGAGGAATCGAACCCAGGGCCTCATGCATGCAAGGCAAGTGCTCTACCACTGAGCCACCTTCCCAGCTGCTGTCTCTTCGATTTTTCACTCAAGGCTGATGCTATACCACTTGTGCCACTGCTCCATTCTTGACTTTTTCTGGTTAATTGGAGATCAGAGTCTCACAGATTTTTCTACCTGAGCTGGCTTCAAATCATAATACTCAGATCTCAGTCTCCTGAGTAACTAGGCTCACTGTCATGAAACTCTGGCCAGGCCCACAGCAATATTTGTATGTTAGGGTCATTGTCAATCTCCATTTAATTTAGGAAATTGGGAAGCATTGGGCCTCAATGTCTTGCCAAGGTCAAAGCCTGTGTGTGCTAGAGATGTGATTCAAGCCCAGGCAGTTTAGCTCAGAACATATTCAAAATCCTTGGACTAAGAGGCAAGGCTGGGTTCTCAAAGCAAGCACAGCACAGGTGAGAAGCCAGGAGAATGTAAGAGCTGGAAGGACATGGTTGTAGTCCAGAAGTAGGGAGGAGCCACGCACACTGGTGGCTCATACCTAGAATCCTAGCTACCCAGGAAGCTAAGATCTGAGAATCACGATTCAAAGCCAGCCTGGGACTCTTATTTTCAATTAACCACTAAAAAAGCCAGACGTAGAGCTGTGTCTCAAGTGGTAAAGCACTATCCCTGAGCAAAATGTATCTCTGGTACAGTGCCCAGGCCTTGAGTTCAAGCCCCAGGACCAGTATGAAAAATGTAGAGAGGAGACCTTCTCATTCATCAGCTGGCTGAAGAGCTGAGAAGTGAAACTCAACAGAGATAGAGAAGCTGCTGTAGAGGGTTCGCTACGGGACTTCTGAGGTACCCCAAAGGAGATACAGGATGGAGGGAGAAAATCACTACAGACACGTCTCTAAAAGATGGAGGCTAATTCATGCAGCAGAGTGTATATGTAGGGTGGATGGAGGGCAGATTGGGTCTATAACAGCCACAGAAGCCATCAAGAAATAAGGTTTCAAACTGGACATAAGTGGGTCATGCCTGTAATCCTGGCTACTCAGAAGGCCAAGCTCCGAGGATGGCGGTTTGAAGCCATCCCAGGCTCGTAAGTTCATGAGACTCTGATTTACCACCAAAAATCTAGAAGTGAAGGTGTGGCTCAAACAGTAGAGTACCAGGCTTGAGTGGAAAAAGCTAAGAGACAGAATACGGACCCTGAGTTCAAGCCTCAGAGGGAGAATGGAAAGAAGGGAGGGAGAGAGGGAGGGAGAGAGGGAGGGAAGGAAGCAGGGAGGGAGGGAAGGAAAGAAGGAAGGAAGCAAGGAAGGAAGGAAGGAAGGAAGGAAGGAAGGAAGGAAGGAAGGAAGGAAGGAAGGAAGGAAG